CCGAGCGTCGCGACGCGGGAGGTGCCGTTGGGACCGTTGCGTGACGTCGCGGTGGGGGCTGCGGGCAGGACAGCGTGGGGAGCTTCTTGCAGCATTTCTGCGTTCACTGCTGCACAACTGCTTGTCTAAATTTAAAATCTAAATTGATTTTCTCCCAGGGACGTGGTTGCTGTATTTGCCGTGCACCTGGAGCATAGGCCTGGCCGCAGAGCCGGGTTGTCTTCCGGACTGCTATATGCTGTCCTTGTTTGGGGCTGGAGCGGTTCTGATGCGCGGAGCGGGCTGCACGATCAACGACATGTGGGATCAGGACTATGACAAAAAGGTAGGGGAGTCCCTAGGGGCTTCAAAGGACCAGGAAGCCTCTTAGTGTTTGATAAACAAGTGAGTTGTTGGTTATTAAACCAAATAAATCTTTCATCTACGACGTGATCAGTAATCCCAGGCCTTAAGCTTGCATAGAGTTCCAGGCAAATGCATTTTTTTGATTTTGGACGTTTGTCCATGTTTCTGTTTGAGACGCGACTCATTTGTTTGTATTTTCTGCTACAATGGTAAAATTATTTTATGCCTGTATTACTCTTTTGAACTGTAATAAGTCTTCTACAATTCCTCTCCCTGTGTAAGCTGATCATATGTTGTCAGCTGTGTGTAGTAGTTGAATAAAATACGTTTTTTCAACTCTTTTCTGCACATCAGAGCAAAGTAAGTAAGATTGCTATGATTTTAAAGCTAGTTTAGCAGTCAGCGAGATGCATTGCGAACTGGCTGAAAGACAGAGCTCAGCAGGTTGTGCACAGTGGAGCAAAGTCTAGTTGGAGGTTTCATATCTAGCAGTGTGGCCCAGAGGCCAATATTGAGTCCAATATTCTTCAGCATATGCATCAGTGATCTGGACGAGGGGGCAGAGTGCACTCTCAATAAGTTTGCTGATGATACAAAACTGGCAGGAGTGGCTGATGCCTCCAAGGGCCGTTTGTGGGGACCTGGACATGCTGGAGAGATGGGTATAGAGGAACCTCATGAAGTTCACCAAAGGCAAGTACAGGGTCCTCTATCTAGGGAGGAATAACATGCACCGGTACAGATTGACCTTCCGGAAAGCAGCTCTGCGGAGAAGGAACTGGATGTCCTGTGGGACTACAGAGTGATCACGGGCCAACAATGTGCCTTTGTGGCCAAGAAGGCCAGTGTACCCTGGGACACCCCGGGAGAGTGTTCCCAGAGATCAAGGTTGGTGATCCTGCCCCTCTGCTCAGCCCTGGTGAGGCCACTTCTGGAGCATGTTGTCAAGTTCTGGTCTCCTCGGTACAAGAGGGACATGGAGCTAATGAAGCAGATCCTTCAGAAGGCTACCAAGATGGTGAAGGGACTGGAACCTCTCAATCTCAAGCGTTCTGTGTTTCTGTGACTTGCTAGTTACAATCTGCTCAAAAACTGCTTTGTGAATTTTTTGGAGCAGGCTTTCATTGAGTGTTCTTAATTTCTTCGTGGAAATGACTGCTAAGAGTCACTAGGCAGTGCCTAATGTCACTACACAAGTGTAGGCTACAAAGTATCCTGGTGAAGGGTGACAATTTGCTTGTCCTATTTCCCATTCTTATATTTTATCTCGGGTTTTGGGTGTTGGCTACTGTCGAACAACAGGATAAGGAGCACATCTGATGGGTGAAGTTCTTGCAGCTAATTAATACAAGGTTGTATTAATGCTGTGAAAGAAGAACGATTCAGTGCAGTTTTGTGGTGTTTTTGTTGGGTTTAGAGCTCTGCATTTATAAACAAATCCATGTGTCAAAATGCTGTTGCAGAGTGTGGAGTGTGATTAGATGCATTTACATTTTTATGACTTGCAAGTAAATCTAAAGGTTTTAGACAATTTTCCCTAGCAGCTCTTAACAAACCTCAAAAGAATATCTATAGATAGTGCTTGAGGCTAGATTTGTAACAGGATGTTGCTTTATGGCTTTGGTGATTACTTTTTTTTATTTTTCTATTCCGGATCATTTGTTAAGTGATTTTTTGGGGTATTTTTTAATCCCATGTTTGATCATGATATGCAGCAGAATTGGTCAAAAAATTACTATGATCTGCATGTTTAAAGTAGCAACTGTTTACATGGTTTAAACTGCAAACCAGTATTTGAAGTTTGGTATAGCTGAACAATGAGACAGGGAAAAGCAAACTAAAAGAGCTTGTGCTGTGTTCTGATGTTTCTTCTTTTATTTGCCTTGATTTTTCTGCTCCTGAGAGAGGTTCCAAATTCTTTTATGCCCTGATTAAGGTTAAATTATTTTTTTTGTTACTGCTATGGCTACATGTGGCATTTTTAATATTTCAGTGATAGGGGAACGTTGAATCTTTAGGATCTAGAATCATCACCGTGATCACCTTGATCACAGAAATGTTGCTGTTCTAATACTGGGATAGTTAGCTGATGGCATTTCATCTTTTACATTTTGCAAAGCTTTTGTTGAATTAATAAAATGCACGTAAAAGATTTCTATATACATGCAGTATATATAATCAGCCTCATTGCACATGAGCCACATTTTATTTCTGCTTTAATTTTTGAAGACGGCATTCTCCTATTGCAATTATTGCTGCTTAGAAATACTTGTCATCTCTGTAATACGCTCATCAGGTAGAGTTCATATTCCTTTTGAAGACGGCATTCTCCTATTGCAAATATTGCTGCTTAGAAATACTTCTCATCTCTGTAATTATATGAGTTCATATTCTTGGAGGAATCCTGCCTCCTTCATTTTGTGACCTGCTTATACTTTGTTTTTTCGTTGTCATGTCAGTGGCGTGACACTTCTCTGACAAGTTTGTATTTATCATACTGGATTTGGTATTGATGTTGTTTTTTCTTGTTTCAGGTTGCAAGGACAGCGAGTAGACCCTTAGCAGCTGGAGATATCTCTACTTTTCAGTCCTTCGTTTTTCTTGGGGGGCAACTTAGCTTGGCTCTTTGTGTGCTTCTGTGTCTGAACTACTACAGGTGATTCATAAGTGACATTTTATTCTTCAAAATTTCATTTCTTGACTCTGTGTTAAGCACAGAGGTTTTCAATTGGAAAAGGTTTGAGAGGGGGAAAGAAAAAGGAGGGTTTTAGTCACTGCATGGTAGCTGGAAATTAAATCATTGGTTCGGTAATGTGAACAGCACTTGTAATGCTGCACAATGTGTTGTGGTTCTCAGAGCAGCAAATAACAAGTCTGATAATACTTCTCACAGTATAGCGCTGGGAGCAGCCTCCTTGTCTCTTGTGATCACCTATCCTTTGATGAAGAGAATAACATATTGGCCACAGTTAGTTTTGGGTGAGTTTAAAATGGTTTTACTGTTTTCAGATATAGTTTGGTGGTTGTTCTAGAAATTAGAAATTGAACTTAAGCCATCTGATTTTATATAAATTTTATAAAAATACTTTACAGATAAAGCAATGTTGTGCCAGAAGCTTCTTAAAAGTTTATAAGATCTAGGAATTAGAGTTTGGTTATTTTTTCTGGTAATAAGCAGTTTTTCTTGTAGTGTTGAGAAAGAACATTTGTCACATGAGAATCAGCTGTAGTTTTGAAGTTATCTTGAAACCTTTCTTAAATGGGCATTTGCCCCACATTTCAGTTTCCAACAGAACCACTTTACAGGAACTGATTGCACCTGTATTTCCACTGATGCCATAAGACATCCTGTGTATCTTACATTTCAGCTGCCTTCAGCTTTTCAATTCAAAATTATGATTTTTTTAATGATTCTTTAATTACTGCAGCATTTTAACTTGAGATGTGTTGTTTGAGTGTGCTCAAAAGTGATTTTGCTAAATAAATAAATTAATGGAGAAGAATGTGTAGCTCTATGTACTTCTCTGTGCATGTCCAGTGTATTTAATGTCAAGTTATTTTTGTATTTATTGTCTGAGTAAAAAAAGTGATAGAAAATAGAAATACTAGTGTGTATAGAAAAACCTGCTGACCTGATACACTCATAGAAATAATACTGAATTCCCCAAATATAATTTGGATATCTCTTTGCACCTTTTTAGCTCTGTTTTGTCCTTCTACTTTTAGGACTTGCGTTTAACTGGGGAGCCCTGCTTGGGTGGTCGGCCATCAAAGGGTCGTGCGAGTGGTCTGTGTGTTTGCCCCTGTACGTGGGTGGCGTTATGTGGACGCTGGTATATGATACCATATACGCTCATCAGGTAGAGTAATGGGGAACTTTTAGATATTTGTGTACATTTGCATGTTTAATTTGCTGCTTTGGATTCAAACAGTACGAACCTGCTGCAATTTCTCACCCTCAAATGAGCTAAAATAGGGGGAAAAACAGGGCTCTTTTCCCCCTGCTTGTACATTCAAACTAGTACGCAAAGCATTTGGAATGAAGTGGGTTTTGTGGGCTACATGAATACGCACTGTGTAAATAGCTTCGATGAAGCTGTTGGCCACTAAAGTAGCTCTAAGGATCAGTCTTTTAAGAGATCTACAGAGAGGCTTAAATCGAGTTCATAAATAAGAAGCATTTCTAGTTTTAGTGAGGCCCATTTTCTCACTTTCAGCATAACAGTTAGGTTCTGGTTTTTGGGTTTTATTTTGCTCATTCTTTCTTTCATTTTAGGATAAGAGGGATGACATCCTTATTGGTGTGAAGTCAACAGCCTTACAGTTCCAAGAAGATACAAAGCAGTGGCTCAGTGGCTTCAGTGCGGCAATGCTCGTGGCTTTGTGCATGGCAGGAATGAATTGTAACCAGACTTTCCCTTATTACTCAGCTGTGGCAGCTGTAGGGGCTCACTTAGCACACCAGGTTTGATTGATTTATTTATACTTTTTCTGTGTGGAACTTCTTGGAAAGAAGATGTTTTTCATCCCCTGTCAATTTGCAAACTGCTGGATTTTTTTTTCCTGTAACTTTCTGTAAAGAGAATTTAAGTCTTCTAGCTATCAACTTTCTTCTGTTTAGTACCTTTTGCAGAGCTTACTTTTGAAGAAGCTATAGTGGTCCACAGATTGTAAAGAACTGTTCTTCAGTCTGTGCCTGTTGCAAAGAGCTCAGGCTCTTTGCATTTTTTACTGATATAATTTTGATATAATTCTTAATCTAGTTCTCCCATAGGTATTTGATTTTAGACTGCAATTGCAATCTATTATGATTTAAAAGACTATTGTTTATTTTTTAATTTTTAATTTAAAAGGCTAAGTTGTCTACCATGTAAAGAGAACATATTTTTTTTTCTACAACGTGCTGTACCATAGCTGTATCAAAGTGAGTATTGTATGTTGTATTCCAGAGATAGTTAATTGTACATCTAAACAGCTTTTTTTCTATTGTGCCCTGGTCTCGGATTTGACAACGTAACAAAAATTCCCGTGGCCTTTTCTCTACTACCCGTAGCAGATGTTAATATTACACTTTTACAATAATTCTGCAATAGTTCTGGTTCACTGTTCTTTTTGTAGCTGAAAGCAATCCAAATCAGTCTTGAATATATATTAGTTTAGAAATACTAATACATAACAGTAAAACTGACGATTAGCTTTTTCCAAAACGGAGGTGGATGGGATCTTTTCCCTCTGTTTTTTCTGAATCCTGTAGACTTTTAAAGTTATTAGTGACCGTGTTTGGTACTTTTTGGCCACTGTTCTTTGTGAGGATTTTGCTTGAGACACATTCCACGTTCCACACTATAATCATTCCAAGTTTGGACTGTCAGAGCGGTTTCAAACTGTAGTTTTGGCAGAAATGCAAATTAATTTTTACACCTGAGAATGCAGAACGGCAGGTTTTAAGTGGAGGGAAGTGTGGGCAGCTCTTTAGATCACCAAAGTCATTGGAGCAGCGTTGTTCCATATACCAAAGAGTATCTTCTTCTTGAGAGATCAAGAGTAATTTTAATATTAGTATTTTGAACATGCAGTTATCTGCCTGGTTTAAAAAAAATCATTAAGACAGACTAAGGGTTAGATTTTTCTTTAATTACTGAATTTTTGCCTGAATCACTGTCTAAGGGAAAATAGAGAAAATCGGGTGATGGATATGTCAAATTTCTATCCAATTAAAGAAGTTTAACAAAAAAAAAAAACATTTCTATTTGCTGTGCATTTCTAAAAAGTACATCTCATGACTTGGCTGCTGTCGAATTTGATTTCTTAGTTCAGTGGTTTAGCTTTAGATGTTTTAAATCAGTGTTTGAGAGGCTTGCAGGCTTTTTAGGCTTGTGGTTAATGTCATATTTTAGAACATCATGCAAATACTGCAGGTTTGTTAATCAGAATCCAGCCCTGTCCTCTCTGCACAACTGCAGAAACCGCAGATGGGAGAGGAGTGTGTTTGGTCTAACTTCTGTTTCTTTTAGTCGGGTACACGCTGTTTGGACAATTTCAGAGGGTAAATTGCCAAGTTCTGTGTAAGCCTTGTTTCTAGCTGCTGCTGCAGGTGTCCTGGTTCCTCTTTGCAAGAGAACTGTATAGATGCACTTTGGAGCAACTGGATTAAACCATCCCTGTGTGACTGGGCAGCCTTCTGTGCAGTACAAGTAACTGGCTGCACTGCATTCTCTCGGTCACCTCATTTCTATTGAAATTTGGGCCAACATTTTATAGTAAAATTCCAAAAGATAAAGGAAGGTGACGTTTCTTCTAAGTTCCCATCGAAGAATTAGGTACTTATCTATTGAGGAAACATCTCAGAAAGACTTGTTTATATGCCTAGATACTTTTGCACTTTTAAAAAACAGATCAGGCAGTTAAATATTTAGACTGTTTATAATGTCCTTTTTTAAGAAGGTCCGGGAATCCTGTCTGTATGCAATAGTTTACTTTTCTGCTGTATTCTCTAATTTAATAAATCTGCCAAATAAATATAGATACGCCTTGTGCAACAAAAACTTTTTTAAGTGCAGCGTTTTCCTGTTTATCATGGTGCTTCAGGTAGACTTTAGAATTTGAGATTCATTGTTTCAAGGTGCAGACCTTTTTTTTTGGGTGGGCAAAGTGTCTAATATTCATGATTGCAGGATAATAATGGTGAAATGCTATACTGTCCTTTCAGATTTACACTTTGGATATAGATAAACCTGAAGACTGTTGGAAGAAGTTTACTTCAAATCGTACAGTAGGAGTTCTGCTCTTCGTAGGGATTGTGCTTGGAAATCTTTGGAAGAGAGAAGACTCAAAAAAGAAAGAAGAGCCTTTAGAAAACAGGTAGGTGAAACTACTATAAATGCTTCATACATACATCTCATTAAAATAAAGATACTGTGAGAGTAAAAACAGTTGTCTCTGGTTTATTCTATTTATTTATAATAGCTGATAAAACTTTCCTTATTTCTAAAAATACGCAGGTGAGATTAACCAAGAGCGTCAGTTGTGTTATTCCTGGAAGGACCGTAACCACCATGCAACAAGTGAAGCTGCTGAGCTCTGCTTAAGGTCGTACTGAATGTTTAAGTATTGATCCTGGGCAGAACAAGTCCACTTCTGTGAAATCCTCGAGCCTGTGAATCCTCATGTTTTATACAGGACACAATAGATACCTCTTGATGCTAGTGCACAGGAAATGCCAAATGAATTCGGGATGTAAATAAAATGTGGTTGTAAATGCTCGCTGTTACGATTTATTGCATGATCATCATGCTCTAGACACACAAACAGGAGATCATTTGCAGTCTATTTTGGAGCTTGTTGTGTGAAATAATTTCTATGACTGTTTTTACCCTGAGCTGTTCAGAACCTGTCAGGGCTTTGTGTGGGGTTTGTTTTTTGGTTTTGTGGGTGTTTTTTTTTTTTCATGCTTGTGTGGTCCAAAATAATTGGACAATACGAAAATATTTTTAAAATATCTTTTTGCTTTTGCTCTAATTGCTAGCAGACACTCATATTCTATGCAAATGAGAGTGGAGTTCACTTCAGGCTAATCGTGGTAGACATTGCAAGTGAAGTTTTCTCCAGAGAAAGCTTTGCACATGCCAGCATTGGGAGCTGCAGCTGGATGTCACTAAAGCTAAAGTCACTCTGCTCTCCAAATGGCCTCTCCTTATTTCTGTTCTCTTCCTTTAGCGGTGGGGTAAAACTGTTCAGGAAGTCACGCTAAAAAATCAAACCAGGGAGCTGATCTGGCTTTCAATAAGACTATCCTATTTTAAGATTATTTAAGTGTCTAAGAGACATGTCTGTGCAGAGCTGTACACTCAGGGTTTGCTAACTTTCATTTCTTCTCCGTGACGATAATAGTTTAAGAGTTTCCTGTTGCAGCAACATGCCAGGGCTTTATAACAACTGAAGAGTTCTGGAAAATGAAATCCATTGCAGGGCTGGGCTTGACCTTGGTGGTTTTTTGGTATGCTTCTTGCTTTTAAAATGTACTCTGGTTTTCTTTTGTGTTCTTCTATTGTCCCAACAAATGGTGTTACATATCTTTGGAGCAAATTATACACGAATGGATTTTGGGGCTTGATTGCATGTACAATAGAAGTACTTGAAAATGTTAGGAAGCTTAACTTCATAACATGCCAGGGGCCGCCGGGCCCTCCGCAACAGTTTGTAGCTGCCCAAGAGTTTTGCCTTAAATGCCTCGTGGTGGCAGCCTGCCAACTCATCTTCAGGGGAGGAAGGGCATCGTGATGCACTCATCAAAGGTGCCTGGATTTTGCCTTTCTTGTAGTTCTTTAGCCCAAGAAGAGATTTTTAGACAGAGGAAGCCTGAGATTCCCATCTTCTACCTCAGGAGAGTGCATTGTGCTGCATTTAGCTGAGGAACTGCCTAGTGGAAGCCCAACCTGGCCCGAGAGCGGGTGAGAGCCAATGTTGCAGGAGGAGAGCAGCGTGGCCGGAGCAGGTAGAGCTCACTACATCAGTATGGGCGCTGAGCACGCAAACCAGGACCTGGGAGCAAAAGGGCGTTGCTGGTGACTTTTCCTGGGAACTCAAGGCCAGGAAGTTATGTCAAAATATGGAAAGACTGGAATATCCTCTGGGATGACCTGCAAGTCCATAAATGCTAGGGTAGTAAAAAGCACCCTAAAAATTAAGTTTAGGCTGCTCCCTCCTCTAGACCAGCACAGAATTGTGGTCAACCAATATTAAAGGACCAGTAGGGTAACCAAGAACTGATAGAATGTATTTTACAACAAAAAAGAGGAAAGGCCTAGAAATTTGCTTCAAAACACATCAACATGTGAATACCTGGAAGGAAGATGTATTTAAACTTCAAAATTAAGTTAACAGAAGAAGGAGGGCGCTAACCAGCTGTGGATAATACTGAGTTTTGATACTAGCTGAAAGGTTCTAGGCCCTTGGAGAGGTGAGTTTCCTCTCTTCCCTGTACCTCCCAAGCACTTCCCTATAGTTTGTATATAGAGGCCAAGACCAGAATGATTTTTGAGGCAGCATGTAATGGATTAGCAGAATTGTAAAGGGGATCATAAAACATGATTAGTTTTCCAGAATTTCTTTTTTTGTGGATAGTGCTACCAAAAAAAAGAAAGAAAGAAAGAAAAAAAAGCCCTCTACCCAGCCAGCTATAGACACATCACTTGTCTCAAAGAGGAAGGACACGGTTGTTTTTCAAGACAGTCATGAAGGTGTTGCTGAGCTCCACAGGAGGAGTTTATTGAAGGGCAGAACCTTTATCTCGACGTTACTCATGAAGTGCCCGGCACGTGCAGGGCACAGGAGGACCGTGCTGCTGAGAAACCCTGGCAGCAACGGTGAGCGCTTGCTTGTCGGAAAGAGCTCTGTACATTCGGTGTCAGACCCACTATTTGTGAAACAGGAAATTCTCCCGGCTTTATCAGAGCATATTTCCCCCTACATTTTGCCGTGTTATTAACCACTTTCTCAGAAATTATCCAAAATAATATTTCAGAGAATTATTACAGAAACACTGAGTTTGTTATGTATCCTCAATGTTATTTTCTGGCAATCCATGCATTCCTTCTGCAGGGAAAGACCCGGTCTCTCACCAGTAAATATTTTGGTGGTGTTATGGGTTTTGTTTGTTGTGAGTATTCGTCAGGTGAGGATGCTCTGCCACCAGTGAGCCTGGTGCCTGGTAGCCCACTCTTTTCTCATGCATTGGGTGGGATTGGGAGGACTTGCTCTGTTATCTTCCTTGGTCTATCACAAGATCTGTGAGTTGCTGTGCTAGCGCCGTTTGTGGATGCTTGTAGATGGTGGAAATCTGAGATCTTGGGAAATCTTTAAAAGGAGTCCAGTAATTATTGCATCTGCTGTCCTCAGGCCTTGTTCAAGAAATATATAATGCGGAGGCTACTCCAAAAGTTGTCTTGAAGAGTTCGAGCTGTTCAAAGCCGATTAACTTCAAGGAAAGTGAGAAAGTACTTTGGACAATTGGAAGTTGAACACACAGCTAACTGTGGGAAAAAACAGGGCAAATGTTATTGGCAACGGATGTTCTGGGGCAACTGAAAGACGCCATCAATCTTCCTATCTCTTAAACTTTCCATGCAAAATTGGGTAGAAAGCTTGACAAGCTATGTGCATAAAGTCAAAGAGAAGAAATACAGCCGTTCACAAGGCCCATCTTGTGCATGCACAGAGGAAACTATATAGATGCAAAAATGAAGCTCCCTTAAAAGGCCTTGTGATGGTGCATGCGTAGCAGGTACTGAGTTGTACAGCTTCCTTCCCTTTCCTACAAATCATCTCTTTGACGTCAACTGTCTCTCAACCTCCTTCTCGATAAAAGCTCTTGTTACTCTAAGCCTGTCTTCAGTGCTTTTCACGTTTGTCTCTTAAAGCAGTGTTTTATTTAGCCAAGTAATCCATGATATGTATCATGTGGGTATTTTACTTAGAAAAATAAAATGTTCTGTGTAGCAGTAAGAAGTGTAAGCAGCAACGGCTGCTCTCCGTCAACAATAGCAGAACTCATCCCGTAGGACCCTATGCAAAGAGAGGCCATGGAAGAGGTTAATAAGGTTGAGGCGACTAGGTACCTAATTTTGTTATTTGCTTCTGTGAACATAGCTTGCTACTTATGCTGAGTCACCCTGCTCTTGCTGCAATCATGAGATATCAGCCATGAAGAACTGGTGATTGCAAATAACGTATGAAGGAGTCGCAGCTGTCTATAAAAACATGAACTTTTCCCAACACAGCGCAGATCTCAGGCAAACTGTAAGAGATCCGCCGCTGGCCGGCTAATGAAAGCTTGCTTTTCAACCCACCAGGTTGAATGTGCGGGTGATTATTGAGATTATGGACCAACAACCCTACTAATATAAATAATGTAAATACATTTTAAAAATAATTGTCACTTTGTAAATTCTGTGGCAAAATACCTTGAGCGCGTAGTTCTGCCAGTGCTTTGGTTGATGTTGGGTTAACTTAACTCTTCCTGATGCTACCCTAGAAAAGTGGTTAGAAAGAAGGAAGTAAAAAGTCACACAAACTGCCCGTGAGAAATGATTGGTGACAGATCTTTCCCCAAGCCCGAATGTGCCCAGATGATGAATGTGAAACTACTTTTCGCACTGTCTTTCAACTACTACCTCTTTTTACCTAGCAGGCTTTGCGAGCTGCTGCGCAGCAAGTGCGCCCAGCTTGCCCTAACCACGTGCACTGGAGCTGGGTTTGGGTGGCAATAGCATGGGCTGGGTCAGGGACCTTCTCTGGATGAAAATTCACAGCCCAGCCCCAATTTAGCCAAGTGGTGTTTTCTGCCTGGCTGTTCTGCTGTGGGTGCAATTGCCAGATAACAGTGAGGGAGCAGTAAGGAACTAGAGCCACGGGCAAGAGAGAGGACAGCTCTTCCTCTCCTACCCTTCTTCTCCCCTCTCTTCTTCTTCCCCCCTCTCTTCTTCTTCCCCCCTCTCTTCTTCCCCCCTCTCTTCTTCCCCCCTCTCTTCCTCCTCCAGCCAATGATATCAAGTGCAAGAGCAAACACACACATCTGTGCAAACTCTTCCTCCTAAGCTTTTCCTGCAAGCCAAAGAAAAACAGAGTAACAGCAGCCTGCAGGCCTCTGTCTCTTTCATCCTTTATTTTTTTATATATATATTAAAAAGAAGCTTGTTCTGGGGGAGGGAATATTTTAATGTTTTAATGAGACAAAACACTTAATCAAGAATCTTTCAGAGTTGTTCTTCTTGTAACAACTGCCATGTGCAAACAGAAATAGGGGATCCCGGTGATGTAGGTGCGAGTGTTTTCTTTGATAGGAACAAAACTGTTCTGGTTTAATTCTGCACAGAAAACCTAACTGCGCTGTTAAATTCCGGCTCCCAGTGCCCCAAACTCCTGCCCCGCCGCCTCTGATCACCTCCCACCCTTATGCTCGTCTGCTCCAAACTACCAATGAGAGACCTGACAGCTGGGGGGAGGGAGAAAACCGAAGTTTCATTTTCCCCCGAAAAGCCTTTATTTGCTGCCCTCCTGCCAGAGGTTTCTCCTGCTGCAAGAGCTGCTGCGGCTGCCGTGCACCAGGTTTGTCCCCTTCCAGCATAAAATACTTGGGGAAAAGAGGGGCAGAGAGTGAAAATGGAAAAATTATTATTATTATTATTATTATTATTATTATTATTATTATTATTATTATTATTATTATTATTTAGTGCTTTTGGACAATCTGGGGGGTCGCTTCTATAGTCTGTTCTGAGTGTAGTTCATACCGTAGAAGTGGGCTGGATTTTATAGGTTGCTTCTGTGTGTCGCTGCGTGGTGCCTGGGTGCCTTTTCGGTGCTTTTCAGTGTTGTGGCGATGTCCCGGCTCCGAGCCGAGGATGCCGGTGACGTCAGCGGGGAGAGCAGCATGTTCACCTTGCAAAGTTTCAGCTCAGGAGGAGATGGGATGTGCGCGATACCCATATCCTGAATAATCTGCGTTGTAATGGCTTAAAAAGTGTGGCCGAGCTGCGGTTTTGGCACACGCGTGTCAGGGGGTTGGCAGAGCGCTCCGAGGGCAGCAGAGCTGCCTCTTCTCTCCGTACCTGCTTTTATCTCCGGGAGCCTCCCGTTATTTTAAAGACCGCGTGGGCTTCAGGCAAGGGGTTTCCGAAGGCCTGGGGTTTGGCACGCGGCGGCGGAGTTGGGATGCGCCAGCGGAGTCGGGATGCGCCCCGCTCCCAGGAGGATTTACGTGGGAGGGCTTTAGCGAGCGGCGTCCCGAGAAACTGTAGTTTCTATTCTGCCTTTTGAGCTCAGCGGGGCTGTGGGGAGGGGCTTCCAAGTTGGGAAGCATTTCTCCTGCCTTGGCCAATGCCCAAGGAATTTGTAGCAAGAAATCCTAACAAATTTCAGCACAGGATTTTATATAGTTTATAGTAGTTTTCCTTCCACTTTTTTCTCTTTGTGCACAACCGTCACGACTTCCCCTCCGTTTAGCTTGCTTAGAAAGAAATACGAGGCTGATTCCCAAAGGCTTTGTACATGTGCCAAAGCTTGCTTCGGAAAACTACTCAAAGTTCAACAAGTGAAACATCTGTGTTGTTTGCTTTAGCCTAGAGTGGCTGCCAAGTTCCACGCAGAGCAAACAAAATCAACGACCTTGCAAACGAGCAAAATCTTTCTGAGACAGGAGAAAAAACGAATGGTCGGAGGCTGCTTAGTGGGACCAGATAATAGGCAAAAACATGCCTCATCTCCCCATGTGCTTGTAGTTTCCAGAATTCTAATAATTTTTTTTTGGAGTTGGGGCTGCTGCAGCCTAATACTTTATGTTACGCATCTGGAAAAGATGTAGACAAAAGTGCTGGTTAGTGAACAATTTAAACATAGTGAGCAGGACTGCATTTCTGCAGGTCACAATTTTGGTAGCGCTCTTGTCTTTTCCGGAGGGAAAAACAAACAAAGAAACAAAAAAACAGCAAAAAAAAAGTGGCAATGACCTAAAGAATGGGCAAAATTTTTGTAAAATGTTTATTAAAGTGCCAAGAGAAACCATTTGTGTCATCACACAGAACTCAGAGTTTCAGACAAGATCAAAAGGACTGCAGCAGGAGGCAGTAGTGGAATTTAGCTGTAGAATAGGAAGTCACAGCAGCTAAGAAAGGAGAAGATAAATTGAAAACAGAGGAAAGACAAATATTTAGCAGAGAAAAGCAGCTAGTTTGAAAGCATGGTCATGAATATTGGATAGAGAGCGAGACTGCAACCAAAGAATTACAGCTGAAAAGAAGCTTTGGGGAGAATAAAATATGGCGGAGAAGCACAGTGGAGAGATCACAGGAGGAGAGAGAAGTGATCAGGGTTTCATAGCTGGGAAACAGCACTGATAATGAAAAACAGAAAAAAAGAGGCCTAGCTATAGGAGTGAGTGGGAGGACAGCACTGTCCGCAGCGAGATACAAGAGGGCAAGAAGCAGTTGAGCTTGGCTGCAGGGAGAACTAGGTTTGTGGTTGAGGAGCATTGACAGGGCCGTTGCTAGAGCAGGTTCCGGATATGTATCCATGCAAATTTAGGGCATGTGTCTATGGACTTTGCTTCTTCCTGGTGTTAGAAAGCTTCCTGCTTTGGTCTTTCATTGAAGCAAAAGGGATTTTTGTGTCTGAGTAAAGCGCTAGTGAAAATATCTGAATCCACACTGAAAAACAGCAGCAAAGCGAAAGATTCTTGTTTTTCAGTTACCATCCTGAGTGTTTTGGTACTGAGATCTACGGTTGTAAGCTGTGGCAGAGGAGGGCAAAATTCCTCCAGAAGCAAGTAAGGAACGGCCAGCTGTTAGTCAGGGAGTGAAATGGTGCCTTTCCTCTCGATGGGGAGAGTTCTTGATTTGGGGATGAGGAAGAAGCTGGTGAGGAAGAAGAACGCTTTGGAATGAAAGCATCTGGGTGGGGAAGAATTAGCAAATTTACCCTGTGGGTGCCTTCATTAGCTGCTAGAGTTTGTCCACCACCATCCATCCAGCTTCCCTGCTTTGTTTCCTGCCAGGTGTCACTAACTGTCCCGTTCCTCCCCTTTCTCTTTCAGAGGATCGAGGTGATCTGAAGAAAGTAGACATGGCCTCTCAGCCTGTTATTACAACCCAGCCTCAGTATGAGATGGTTTCCACTGTGCCAAGAAATAAGTGGCAGACGGGCCTGACGGACTGTTGCACTGACTGTGGCGTGTGTAAGTGCAAAATCAGGTCTCTTATTTCACCCATCCTTGCGGAGGGACTTCAGAAGGCAGCACAGGCAGCCCTGTTCAGTGGATAAAAAAATAAACTGGGAAACTTGCAGTCTCTCGTGCCATGGATCTCCGCCTCCTCTGGCCCTCTCTGTCCTACCTAAGGCAAACCCTCACTTGCTCCTGTTTTTCCCTTATTCCAGGCTTGTGTGGGATGTTCTGCTTTCCCTGTCTCGCCTGCGAGGTGGCCGGGGACATGAACGAGTGCTGCTTGTGCGGTACCAGTGTGGCCATCAGGACCCTCTACCGCACCAGATACAACATCCCGGTTAGTGCTTCGTCGCTGCTCGCACCTTGCTCAGAGAGCAAACATCAAGTGTCCTCGGGGGCTTCTTGCTAAGGACGTAAGGAACGTGTGGAGGGCAGCAGCATCCTGTGCTTGCTGTTTTTCACTCGTTCTTCAGAGTTGTATTTCCCTAGTGATGTTGGGAGTACAGAATGGGAGCCAGGAGAATGAATCCCGTGGCTGCTTTTAGAAAGTTGGTTTTAACCTTACACAACTTCCTCACAGCATCCTTCGTTATGTAGTTCAAAAGTACTGGAGAAATGTGTTCACTTGTATATATTAAATTTGGCAAATCGTTTACTTTCAGATATAACTTAGTATTTTCCATAGCACAAACCAAAGCAATCCAGTTTGAAATCACCAGAATTGCCTCTTTTATTTATGTGTTTTTCCACTCAGTTTTAACCTAGGGAGCAAAAAGAGGAATAGCTATCTGAATGCCGTATTAACTTCTTTATTTTTATATTTTCTAGTTATGTTGCAAGTCCTCTACGTTCTACACAAATTCAGTCACGAATATTGAAACGTTTTAGCATTTTTAAAGATGTAGATTCTACAGCTCAATGCAAAAAAAAAAAAAAAGGGCACCAAGGAGGAAACAAAAGAGACATGATATGGACTATGATTAACTTATTGTTAGATGAAATGTGGTTTTTGGAAAGGTCGACAGTCTCAAATAATTTCTGTTTTACAGGGGTCCATTTGCTCTGATTGGTGTGTCACCATGTGTTGTCCCGTGTGCTCGGTTTGTCAAATGAAGAGAGATATCAAGAGGAGGAGAGCGTCTGGCATATTCTGGTAGGTTTGGCTGGCTGTTCCTCGTTGAGAAAGCCACCACGTGAAGCCCAGCAGAAGCCCAGGCTCCCACGGGCCACGGGTGGGATGCTGTGATGCAGAACTGGAAATAACCAGGTGGTGACGGTGACCTGGCCTGCAGCAAGACCTTACCAGGAGCCTGCAGTGAGGGAGGAGACGGCGTCTCCGGGAGGGTGTTTGTGGGGTCCTGGTCCTCTGGAGCGGAGCAAACTCAGGCTGAGAGGGTGCGCGAGGGCTGTGCGCGGGTGCCCAGATGGGCCCGGCGGGGTGATGGGGGGAGCCAGGGCTGGTGCCGCGCGGCGCCACGGGCTGCCCGGGGCTCACGCAGCCCTGTTTGTGTGACAGATCGGCCCTGCGCTCCGACGCTCCTGCCCTCGTCCCGCGGCGGATGCCACCGGCCTCCATGGGTGCTGCGGAGTTGCTACGTGCCGGAGCGGCCAGCTGCGCCGTTTGGAAACGTTCCATGGACGGCTCTGCTTGCTTTTAGTGGTTCTTCTTTTCCATGTTATGACTATCAATAAATTGTACTGCTTGGCTTCACTTGCACTGTGTTGCCTTCCTGAAGCACCTAGAGGTTTTTGGGAAACTCTTCCTCCTCCTGCTACTTCCATTTCAGCAACTCCCCTCCGTCCGTAGTGCAGCTGAGATTTCTCCTACAGCAGAGAGAGATTTTGACTACTACCCTTATTTATTTATTTACAGAACTTTTAAAAAGTTTTTTAAATATGTCTGAGATGTTTATTTTACTCATCTAGAATGTAAACTGTGGGACAGCATATATATTTTTTCATTTTAGTGGGCTGAAGCTGAATTTTCGAAGGGGTAACATTATTTCAAATGACTACAGCAACAACACCATAGTCAAAAGATTAAAAAAGGAAGCATGGGTGGATGCTCTGCACTGTCTTCTTTTTAGTAACAACAGCTTTCAGCCACACACACACAGTTTTTGTGAAAGGAGAAGCAGGGAGCAGATGTGTAAAAACATGGTTGGGTTGAGGTAGGCAAAGACCTTCCCGAGAGCAAACTCTGCCCCTCTCTGGCCACAGCAAGCCAAAGCAGATCGTCTGGGGTTTGGTCTTAGAAATACGGGTTTTGCCCAAAATGCACCAGATAGACAGCAGAGAAACTGTAGTTCTCCTGATTCTGACATTTGCAGAGTTCCTAAAGGACTCTTGGATTTCGCATGTCCTCTCCCAAATTTACTGCGTGGAGAACTGAATTTTTGCAGCAGGGACCCAAGTAACTGAGACCTGGTGCAGTTCGGCACCGCTCCCTTGTGTTGTCGGGCTCACTTCTTGTGGCCCTCCCTGCGAGCTGGGTCCCCCGTTGTCCAGTCTCTCTTCTGGGTTTCCTGTAGAAAGCGGGGGAACGACACTGTCATCCAAAGAAAGTTGAGGGCTCTTTCCAGCCCATTATAAGGAAGTGAGAAGAATTTATGCACGGGCTTTGAGGCAGGAACTCTGTCACCCAGAAGAGTGATTTCTTTACGATAGTCAGATTTATCAGGACTTTACCTACCAGGCTACCTGGCAGGAATTGCACCTCCACCAGGAAACTCATCAAAGCAGTGCAAAACTTTGAATGCAAATTTCCTGCCTCTGAAAACTGTTAACCCTCTGAGCTGGTACCTTTGGTAAAGTATCGTCGCAAACAGACATCACCAAGAGCCCAGGAAACGCAGCAAGTCTCCCAGACGGATCCCCTCCGCGCCAAAGCTGGCATTACGCAACGGGGCGTACGGAGCTTTATCTGCTGTTAGTCAGGCAGAGCAGAGGTCACCCTCCGCAGTGCATCCCAAGAGCATATAAGGGTGAGGAGCAGGAACAGGCAGCTCACTTCTCCGACAAGGACTGCTCGCAGGAGGTACGTGCATTTTTCCTTCTTTTTTTTTTTTTTTCTTTTTGCATTTTGTCAAGGTTGGCTGAGTAGAGATACTGGTACTGACTTAGCTGCCAGCCTGGCAGGTTTCATGAGGGAGTTGCAGCAAAGGCAGAAGTGCTCTCTCCAACCTCGCAGGCTGCTCCAAAGCCGGATTGTGCCGGGTGTTCCGATGGACGTTTTAACAGAAGTGCCCTGCTGAGCTGGGTCTGAGTTAGAGTTGCTGCTGGGGCTGCTGTGGGGCTGAGGCCGGGCACCGCGCGGGCTCGGCGCTTGCTCCGCTGCGGCGGGGAAGGGGGTCTCGCCTCCGCAGAGCCTGGATCTTCCGCTGAGGCTTCTTGTTTCTGGCAGGGTGGTAGTGGCACTGGCAAAGCGATGATCTGGACTTGAGCGGGGTTTGACCTAATTTGATGTATTGCTAGTTCATGAGAAGGCAAACTTCTCATGACTGAGTATTATGGGGAAAAAGGAAATCTAAAGAATTAAACAAAGGTGAGGTGAGTAAACATCCTCTCTCTGTTTTCCCAAGGCTGAAGTTAAGCCAAACATTGCTCTGCCCATTTCAAATGCCTTTGGTGGGCAGTGCAGGTAGACAGACAGGCAGTGCGAGAGGGTGGGATCATGCTTGTGTGGGTAATTTTTTGTCCTGCTGCTCCTCCATGCTTCTTGCTGCTTTTCTGCTGCTTCCCCGTCATGGCACAGCTGAAGTCCCTCTGGGAGTGTCCTGTCCTGCAGGAATGAACTGGGTGCTTGTGTGTCGACTGTGCGCTCCTGCGCGCACTAACTGGGTGCTCGGGTTGAAACGAACATGTGCTGACGCAGAAACAAAGCAGGAGAAGCAACAGCGGGCTCAAGTGCCGGCTGCAGGCAGAGCAGTGGTGATCTCAGGCATCAGTGGCATCAGTTCTGCCATGGGGGAACCGGGTGCTCGCACGCAAACCTCCTGCGTGCCTGCCCGTGAACTGACTGCGCGCTCGAGAGGCTCGATGGTTCCTGCGGGCGTTAGTTGTGCGCTCGCGTTGGGGGCCAGCAAGCGCTGGGGCTCAGGCCGGTGCGAGCGGCCGCACGACCTGGCGGCGCTGGGCGCGCCTGGGGCTCTGGGAACTGCAAGGACGAGCGTCCCGCTCCGCGGGGACAGAGAGGCTTCCTGCCTGTCCTGCCCTCAGGCAGGCCAGCCCTCGAGGTGGGCTTGGTGCAGCCGCTGTCCTCGTGTCCTCGGGTTGTAGCACCCCCAGGGTGTGGGTGATGGACAGGACAGGGGCTTGTTGAGCCTGCATCAAAGGGCTCCCTCCCTAAAAGCTCTTGTGCTTATCGTTGCAGGGGTTCCAAAGCGCTACTTTTACTGCTCCACAGCAGCTATAGCAACAGTAAGAAAACACCTTTGTCCTTTAATCTTCAACATTCCTTGGTTAATGGGGCAATCCTGTTAGACGGCTGCTTGTCCTTCAGGGCAACCAGGGCTGGAATGGCGTAGTGGAAAAAGGTTACGCTCAGTCTAGTTGTACTTCTGCTGCTTGCACAAAGCCCCTCATGCACGAATCAAACGGAGAGTTTCTACAACCCTTCTTCCGTGTTGTATCTTGTGTCATGGCAGAACCAAGCTCCCTTCTGCTTTTGGCAAACGCTGAGAAAACACAACAAAACAAACAAACAAAAAAAACGTGTTCCTTACTGGAAAATAACTCCTCAGCTGCACTGCTGGAGCACGGGGAGACTCTCCGAGGCCAGAAATGTAGCTGGTGTCTTTATGGGGTCATGGTGAAGGGACAGAACTGAGCAGCCCTCTTGGCCAGCCAAAGAAGGGGAAACAGCCCAAGGTCATGCAATCGAAGTCGTGCCTGAGTTCTGGAGGACAAGGAAGGGAAGGGCAAGTGGCCGGGAGAGAGAGGCAAAAGGAGGAGACAAGCAAAAGCAGATCATGTTTATTACAGTGAGAAATTTCAAGGGGGAAACAGCAACCTGAAAGCCTGCCAAGAAAACAGAGAGGAGGGAGAGTCTTTTCTGGAAGCTACTACTGTGGGTGGAAAAAACCCCCATATATACATATATACATATATATATATGTGTGTGTGTGTGTGTATGTATGTATATTTTTGTATTTATATATAATATATAATATATTTAAATACTTATATATTTACATATAAATAAAAACCAAAACCCTACCAGGTAAAGCAGATAATGGAGGCATTTAACCCAGAGATTAGCAGACAGGATTGACCCACAGAAGCCCTGTTCTTCTGAAGCAGCAGGGCCCCTGGAAGATGAAGCATTTTCCATGCACAGGCAGGATGACGAAATTTACTGGCCTCAAACCGGCCTCGCTGGCTCCAGGGCCCCCACTGCTTGGCCCCAGGCCCACTGCAACTTGTGTTCTGGACCTCCCAGCATGATGGCCCCTGGTAAGGGAGAGGGTGGTGTCCCTGTGATGGAGATCCGCAAGGTCTGTACATCTCTGAGTGCAGCAGCATGAGCAAGACATCCAGCTTAGAAATATCTATAGTGTCTTTTTTCCACATCTCTCTTCCAGAATAGAAATTGCCTGGAGTGACCCAAGAGCTGCGGAAATGGCCACTCAGCGTGTGATTACGATACAGCCTCAGTTTTTAGGTCCTCAACAGCCAGGCGAATGGCAGACGGGTTTGCTAGACTGCTGTTCTGACTTTGGAGTGTGTAAGTGGATCGGGATCTCTTATTTTTTGCGTTGACTTGCTGTGCATTTCTGCTATGTCCTCTGGGAGAGTCTGGAGCGATGACTCTCCCGCTGGTTGTTTATGGTCGCTTTTGGATGTTATGGCATGGTAGCGTCAAGCGTGCCGTGTCACTGCTCATGTTGCAAATACTGTTTTTTCTTGGTAAAGGTGACAAAGCCACTTTTGCTAGAGACTGAGAGGTCTTTGAAAGATCTCTCCAGCTGTTGCTCTGCTTTGCCAATACACCCCAGCTTTCTCTACTCTCTCTCTTACCTCATCTGCTCTCCTTGACCAAAAGAACGTATCGTTTTTCCTCACCTCTCTGTAGGTTTATGTGGCAGCTTCTGCTTCCTTTGCCTGGGATGTCAGGTGGCCAGCGACATGAACGAATGCTGCTTGTGTGGCTCCAGCGTGGCGATGAGGACACTCTACCGCACCAAATACAACATCCCGGTTAGTGACTCCCCTTTTCCTTTTCGAAGGCTTCAGAGAGAGATTAAATAAAATAGATTAAAAAAATAAAATCAATTAAAACAAAGAAAGATGATTTTAAAAGGCACATAAAAAGAGAAGATGTATTATTCTCATGACGGCTCTTTCCACCCAGGGGTCCATTCTGAATGATTATATGGCTGTCCTGTGCTTTCCTGGCTGCGCTCTTTGTCAGCTGAAGAGAGATATCAACAGGAGAAAACAGCTGGGCACGTTCTGGTAAGTCAGTCCGCAGGCCGCGTTCGTCCGGCGAGCACCGGATAGCAACGCGCGGCCCGCTTGCTCGCACCATGGCCTGGGCTGCCCGGGGTTCACCCACCCTTTGCTGTGTGACAGATGGGTCCCGGCTCCGCTGCGCCTGTCCCCGTCCCTGGCGGATGCTGCCGGCCTCGCTGGGTGCTGTGGAGTCACTATGCGCACAGGTCGGAGACTGCGCTGCCGGTTTGGAAATGGAGAGCAGCTCTTCTTGCTTGATTGCTACTGAGCCTCCATCCTAGCCTCAATCATCAATAAACTGTGATGCTGCAGGGCACTTGCAGCACGTGCCATCTTTAGTCCTGTTGGTTTTTTTTCTGTGCTGTGCTGCAACAGCAGAGGCAACTGTATTTTTTTACCCTGTAAATTCAGACCAGTATTTAATCTAACACACAGAGGGAACAGTGTATGTCCAGCGTACTGTGAAAAACCAAAAGCAAAGTTTGCTGCAGCCATCTCAGCACCTCTCCCATGAAAACCACAGCTCACAGGCAACCATGAGCTTACGGCCCCAGTGACAGCATCGCCCTGTGCTCCTTGTGCCTGGAATGGGCAGAAAGCACAACCTTTCTCTCCCAATGTTTCCAGACGTCAGTTTTCCCTCTATCCTAGCTGTATCGCTCTTGGCAGCACTGCCCATGGCCATGGCCATATCACTTTTGCCTGCAAGGATGTAAAACATGTAATAACTGTGTTACTAATGAATATCATTGTTGCTTGAGTTTGATAGTGAGGGGCTAGAGATTATGTGCAGGTGTTGGAGGTAGTGTCCCTGAGCCCCTAGACCGGCAAAGCCCAGAGAAGGGCCCTGAACATCACCCAAGATGTGACCCATGGGCCCTTTCAGGAAAATGGGTGAGCTCACTAGCAATCCAGTAACAATTTTGTGCACCTAGCTAACCTAGGAGAAGTTGCCTGCATGGAAGCTGGCTGTCCCGTGGACCCTGTGGCCTCAGGACCAGCTCTTGCAGACAGTGCAAGGAGCCGTGGCGGGTTGGCGTGAGAGGATAGAGCATGTCTTGGTTCTGTTGCCTCTGCACAGGAAGCAAGTGTTTTGGGGAAGAAAAGCCAGGTATAATTGTTACAGAATATGTATAAATTGAGATAGGAAGCATGTGTGCTAGGGCACTATGACCTATGTAGTGAACCATTGATAAGCAAGTAGATATTACAAGCAGGATGTACTAACACATTAATCACTTCAGAGTCCATCTGTGGGCATCTTTATGTAAACAAATGTCCAATTAAGTAAGCTTTAGAATTGATAAAAGAAACATCTTATCTTGGACTTCCTCAAGAACCTTTTCTGCAAGCACTGTGCAGCCTGTGATGACTCGATACTTTACATAGATAACGTGCGTAGGGGGTCTTCTTCCTGAAGTGACCACCAGACCCCCGGGCGGGTGCAGAAAGGATTGCTGACCTTGCAATGTGAGACTGCGCACAGTGGAAGAAGACAAGAACACAGGATAATTAAATATGTATTAGCTAGGTGGAACCCTGGATGTCTCTGTGCATAAATAACCATTAGAAGTCCCCATGTGGTACGCTAGAGGTGAGCTTTGCCCTTAGCACCCAATAGCGACTTAACCACCATTGGATTTCTGAACTGCTATTTGGTTTGGAGAGATTCTTTTTCTAGCTTTTCTTCGGCAACAAAATAATTTCCAGAGGCAGGGAGCTCGGAGCTGCATTGGCTGGGGGGTATCACAGACCCCAGGCAGGGTAAGCTGCAGCCATGCCCAAGGAACAAATCCCCATGGGAGCAACGCGAGGACCTTCCTCTCCCCCTCATCATCCAGGCAAAAGGCATGGCCACTGCTGCCCCAGCGCTGTTGTTCCTGCGCTGGGGGCTGAACTGCAGTGCTGAAAGGCAGTGGAGGGCACAGAGGCCCCCATTTTCTTGGGAAGTGCCTCTGAAGAGGGGAAGGCGCTGTGGTGCTCCTGGCGTCCCCGTGGCAGCAGATGCGGCGGCAGCGCGGGCACAAGGGCCCCGAGCGTCCCCCGGGACGCCTCTTTCTCTCGCCCTTTGTCCTCAGCTCTCGAACCGCTTCCCGCCCTCGCCCCTTCCATCCTCCTTGCGCCGCTTCCCGCCTTTTTCCCGGCCTTTGCCCCTGT